ACCCCTGGCCTGGCGCCAGCTCACACATCCCCTCCGAGGGCAGGAGCAGGTTTGCCCGAGAGTCAGGTGGCTCAGCCTGCTGGGGCCGACGAGGACCTGCGCCCTCTGCACGGACCTCCACGCCTTAGTCCTCCCATCAGTGCCGAGGCTATAGCCGGCGGGCCGCATGGCCAGCGCAGGCCTGGGCAGCTGGACTGGCCTGGGTGGGCGTGCTGAGCGAAGGGCGCAGGCGGGGGGGACACCACGCAGGCCTCTTCACCGGAGACAGTGGCCTCCATGCCTGTTCCACAGCTCCCTGCCCCACACATGGCACCACCAGGACACACAGGCCCTGGGTCCCGTCCCGGCAAAGACGGGGCCTGCCCTGCCTGTGTCTGTGTGTGACCATTTCCCGTCACAGACAGACACGTCTCCGTTCTCCCCACCGACCCACCTCTCCCGGCAGCCCTGCCTGCCGGGGCCGAGGGAACAGTACTGGCCCTGCCTCTCTCTCTGTGGCAGCGCCAGGCCCTCGGCAGTGAGGCCGCTGAATCCGGGAGGAGTGAGTGGCGCTCGCCTCGACGATCCGCTGAAGGTCCTGGTTGTGTGTCTATGTGGAGCTGAGTGCTCTTTCCTCTCTGCAGCCCTGTCCAAGAGCAGCAAGCCCGTCCACACCATCCTCCTGAACCCGCACGTGCACCTGCTGGGCGAGGACGCGGCCTGCATCGCCTACATCCGGCTCACCCAGTACACGGACGGCGGCGGGAGGCCCAGGACCATGCAGTCGGAGGAGACGCGCGTGTGGCACCGCCGGGACGGGAAGTGGCAGAACGTGCACTTCCATCGCTCGGGGTCCCCCACGGTGCCCACCAAGTAAGTGTCCCCCACGGTGCCCACCAAGTAAGTGTCCCCCACGGTGAAGTGTCCCCCGCGGTGCCCACCGAGTAAGTGTCCCCCACGGTGCCCACCGAGTAAGTGTCCCGGCCGCCAGGCGGTCACTCAGCCACTGCTCCTAGAGGGTGTCACGTGGGAGTGGGCGTGTCCCGGGAGACAGTCACCGTGCGTCCGGTGTGGGCTGACTGCTGCAGCGTCTCCCTGTAGGGCCAGGTGGGAACTGGGGCCCATCGCGGGCGGGCTGTCAGCACCAGTCAGGGTCCGTGTCTGACTTCGCTGTCACGCAGGCAGTGGGAGGGCCAAGGGGGGAGCATTGGGGGGTTTCCAAAGTGTCGGTGTGACCTCAAGAGCCTCAGCCCCCAGTCCACCCCCACCCCCCCCCACCCCCGGCTGGTCACAGTCTTCAGGGATGATTATAAAACACAGCACTTCTTACTTTATTTTAATCTCTTTTATTTATTAAGTTGATTGGGGTGACATTCCACAAGAGCATACAGGTTTCAGGTGTGGGTTTCTGTGTGACAAGATGGGTGCATTGCACCGTGTGCCCACCACCCAAAGTCACACCTTCTCCTGTCACCTCATGTTAGGGCCCCTGCTCGCCCAGCCTCTTCCCTCTGGAGGCCGCCACACTGTCCGTGCTGTTGGTGTTCCTGAGTTTCAGTTTTATTGCCCACGTCTGAGTGAAGTCATACGGTTCTTCGCTTTTTCTGGCTGGCGTATTTCACCGAGCATAACGTTCTCAAGGGCCATCCATGGCGCTATTTCGTCCTTTCTTATGGCTGAGTAGTGTTCCATTGTGTTATGGACACATCTTCTTTAGCCAGTTCTCTATTGCAGGACACTTTGGTTGTTTCCATGTCTTGGCCACTGTGAATAATGCTGCAGTGAACACAGAGGTGCATATATCTTTGCAAATACATGATTTCGAGGGTTTTTTTTTGGGGGGGGGGGATTATAGACCCAGAGAAGGATTGCTGGGTGGTATGGTAGCTCTATTCTTAATTTTTTGAGGAATGGAAGGACTGCTTTCCATGGTGGCTGTACCCGTCCACATTCCCACCAGCAGTGAGTGAGGGTCCCTTTTTCCCACAACCTCTCCAGCACTTGTCATGGCTTGTCTTGTTGATAACGGCCACTCTTACAGGTGTGAGGTGGCATCTCATTGTAGTTTTGCTTTACATTTCCCTAATTGCCAATGAGATTGAGTATCTTTTTCTATATCTACTAGAGGCCCGGTGCACAAAATTCGTACACTGGGTGGGGGGCCTCCCTCAGCCCGGCCTGCACCCTCTCCAATCTGGGACCCCTTGGGGGATGTCTGACTGCCGGTTTAGGCCTGATCACACAGGGATCGGGCCTTAACCGGCAGTCGGACATCCCTCTCACAATCCAGGACTGCTGGCTCCTAATCGCTCGTCTGCCTGCCTGCCTGATTGATGCCTAACTGCCCTCCCCTGCTGGCCCAATCACCCCCAACTGCCCTCCCCTGCCGGCCTGGTTGCCCCCAACTTCCCTCCCCTGCTGGCCTGATCACCCCCAACTGCCCTCCCGTGCCAGCCATCTTGTGGCAGCCATCTTGTGACCACATGGGGGTGGCCATCTTTGTGCGAGGGTGTGATGGTCAATTTGCATATTACCTTTTTATTATATAGGATTGGCTGTTTGTATGTCTTCTTGGGAGAGGTGTATTTTCAGGTCCTCTGCCCACTTTTTGTTTGGGTAGTTTGTTTGTTTGGTGTTGAGTTTTATGAGTTATCCATATATTTTGGAAATTAAACCTTTGTGCGAGCCTCTGTTTGTAAATATCACCTCCCATCTGATTGGCTGCCTCTTTGTTTTGCCATCAGTTTCTTCTGTGCAGAAGCTTTTTAGTTTTAGTTCCATTCATTTATTTTTGCCTTTACTTCCCTGGCCTTTGGGTTCAAGTTCATAAAATGTTCTCTACAATCAAGGTCCATACATTTGGTGCCTCTATTTTCTTCTATGTAATTTATTGTTTCGGGTTTTATATTTAGGTCTTTGATCCATTTTGAGTTGATTTATTAATGTTTTTACTTATTTCAGAGAGAAGAAGGGGAGAGAGAGAGAAACCTCAATGATGAGAGAATCATTGATCGGCTGCCTCACACTCCCCCTGCCCCCAGGGAATGAGCCTGCAGCTCTGGCATGTGCCCTGACTGGGAGTCGAACCAGGCATGGCCTCCTGGTTCATGATCAACCTGAGCCAGACCAGCCAGCTTGAGTTCATGTTTGTACCTGGGGACGAACTGCAGTCCAGCTTCATTCGTTTGCCTGTGGCTTTCCAGGTCCCCAGCACCACTGATTGAAGAGACTGTCTCTACTCCATTGTTTCTGGCTGCTTTGTTGAAAATTACCTGCCCAGATACCTATGGTTTTATATCTGGGCTGGCTGTTCTGGTCCATTGGTCTGTGTGTCTGTTTCTCTGCCAATGCCATGCTGTTTTAATGATCGTAGCTCTGAAGTGTAATTTGAAGTCAGGCAGCGTGATACCTCCAGCTCCGTCCTTTTCTCTCAGGATGGCTTTGGCTATTCCGGGTCTTTTGTGGTTCCATACAATCTAATGGTTTCTCGTTCTATCTCTTTAAAAGATGACATGGGCACTTTGATGGGAAATGCATTAGGTCTGTAGATTGCTTTGGGTAATGTGGCCATTTTAACTAGCTGATTCTTGCAACCCTTGAACACAGAATATTTTTCCATTGTGTTGTGTCTTTTTCAATCTCTTAATAATGCTTTGTAATTTCCGGTATATAAGTCTTTCATGTTCTTTATTAAGTTTATTCCTAGTTATTCTTTTGGTTGCAATTGCAAAAGGAATTGCTTTTTGTTTGTTTTTTCATTTCTTTTTCTGAGGTTTTGTTGTTAGTGTACAGGAAGGCAGTGGGTTTTGCACATTGATTTTGTATCCTGCAACTTGACTGTGTTTGTTTATTGTTTGTAGTTTTTTGTGGAGTCTTTAGGGTTTTCTCTGTACAGCATCATGTTGTCCACAAAAAGGCGGTGGGCGGAGCTCGGGGACACGGGAGGAGGCCTGGCGATGCCTGGACGCTGGCGGTAGTGGTGGGGTGCGGCTCCCCCTGCAGTGGAGGGGCTGGTGGGCACGGCTGATGAGAAGCGAGAGGGCGCCTCTCCGTGCAGGTGTGGCCCCTCCTGAGCTCAGCCGGTTCTCTCGCCAGGTTCACCGGGGGGGGGGGGGGGGGGGGGGGGGGGGTGAAGGTCACACAGCGGACATTCAGCTCACCCAGAGACTCGTCCGGAGCTCGTGGCTCGGAGCCACAGGTGGCCAGGCCCCGTCTAGACCTCGCCAGGTGCCCGGGGCTGGAGCTGGGCTTGTCAAAAGCGCGTCCCCAGGGAGAAACGAGGGGTGGACGTTCAGTCTGCAGACCATGCTGTGCGAGAGGAATGTAACGATGACGAAAAACCCATTTTGGGTGGTTTTTACCCCAAAGAGGGACAGGACAGATGGCCCGTCCACGTGCGGGGGGCAGCGTCCCGCAGGCCGAGGCTCCCAGTCCTGGGGAGCCGCTGCGCTGGTGGCCAGGCCAAGCGTGGCTTCTCTCACCAGGCACTCCTGTTCCCAGGAAGCGCCTCCCTGTGGCCAACCATCCAGGCCGCTGTTGATCCTTCTCTTAACCCGACGGGAAGGGCTCAGGTGCAGCTCCGCTGTGAGCCCTCGAGCCTGGGGAGCTGCCGGCTGCTGGCGTCCACAGCAACCCGCCCTCCAGCAGTCAGGCCGCGCCTCCCTGTTAGCGTGGCCCCAGGGTGAGAGGTGACAGGAGCCGAGGGTGGGCTTGCTCATTGACTCGCTTGCTGGGACGTGATGCTACCCATGTGTGTCGACTAAAACGTGCGTGAAGCCTGGCCCGTCACTCACACTCAGCACCGTGTGGACAAGCGGACAGATGACTGACTGACTCCCGTGGGTGTGGTCTCTGAACACGGGTTGGCCTCGCGATGGCCGGCTACCCCTCTGGACAGCACCTCAGCCGTGTTCAGCTCACAGAGCCCGGCTCACCACACGGCAGTTGGCGGCTGTTGTCTAACGTCTCCCCTTCCTCCTGGCAGCTAAGCGCCCGTGCCACGTCGGCCTCGTGTCTCAGGCACCAGACGGGACCTGCCCCGGTGTCTGCGTGAGGCGTGAAGGCGGCCTGTGCCTGCACCGCGTCTCGTCACCGCCCCCCGCTGTCCATGTGCACCCCGCGGACAGCTGCACACGGAGGCCGCCGTCCAGTCCCCGAGGACCGCCTGCTCCTCGTGTCTGTTCCTGCCAAGACCAGCGGCCCCGCTGTCCCGGACGGCGTGCACGCGACATGTACATTTTTAACTCTGCTGTTCTCTGCCTGGGCTTGTTTAACAAAAAGGGCGAGAACCACGTGTTTCCTGGGGTGAAGTGGTGGCGGCCCCGAGGGCGCTGTGCCTGGGTGGGCGGAGGCCCTGCGCTCCCCTCCTGAGGGTCACGTCACGGAAAGGCCGCGTGGTCACGTGTGATCGCTCAGGCGGCGGGCACTGCCAGGAACCGCTGGCTGCCCTTTTTGTTCCTCAGATCTGCCGTTTTCTCTCGTTCTCCCTGTTTCTAACGTTCCCGCCTCCTCTTCGCTTCTGTCTGGTGTGTGACACGTGGGGTGTGTGTAAACAGTGAGATCCAGCCCGGCCTCCCGCCCCGCCGGCGGCTTCACCCCTTCCGGGCCCACAGGGTGTGTCAGGGGCTGAGGGTTGTGATTTGCGTGGAGTGGGGACTGGGAGGGGCCAGGCCAGGTCCGCGCGGAAGCCCAGAGCGGTTCCGTCCTCACAGCGCTTTGAACTTGGGGGAGTGACTGCGCCTCCTGGGGTCTCAGCCACCCTCCTGCGAGGAGGAGG